AGCTGTGGTTTAGCAAGAAGGCTGCTGGAGTCAGAGTTGCTGGTCCAGAGCTGCTTGTCACACAGACATGCAGTGCATGCTTGTATGCTGGCTAGGAGTGTCCAGACAAGAGAGAGCTCCAGCAACTGGGCATTTTAAGGCACCCAGGGTTATAAGGCAGGTGATGACTGTGACACTATGTACCTCGGGGAAATACCCTGCATCCCTATGTTCATTCTTATAATATGCTTGTGTGGTATCCAATGCAAAGTTTGTCATGTCGGGTGTCTTCAGAAGGCTCATGATGCCCTGAGCATTGTTGTTATAGCAATGTTATAGGTTGTAATTTCATGTATATAGTTATGCAGCTGAAAATGTGTCCTCATGGCTTAAAAGAAGCCCAGGCAAAACTCTCCAGGAGCAGAGGGGCAGTTCACACCTCATCAGGGCATGTATGGGACAAACCCAGCCCAGCCTCACAGGAACAAAGGACACTGGCTTCTGCAGAAACAAAGGATCTGTTGGACTTGAGTGAGTCACCCCCATTCCTTTGGTCACTTTGGGACTACGATGAGGTAATGTTCACCTGACTCTGAAGGTGGGGGAGGGACAAAGCCAAGAGGGAAGAAAGAACAGGGTAAAAGGGAGAGACGTTTGCTAGGCTCTCTCTCTTCCACCTCCATCTACAGACACCACCATCAAGTGACTGAAGAGCTGATGAAAGGGGAGAGCCTGGCTGAAGGGCAACCAGCCAGCCTGTGGTGAGAAGCATCTAAGTTTGTAAGGGCACTGAAAGTGTAAAGATCAGCTTAGAATGCATTTTGCTTTTATTTCATTTGACCTAATCTGAGTTGTTGTGCTTTGATTTATAATCACTTAAAATCTATCTTTTGTAGTTAATACATTTTTCTGTTTATTCTACCTGAAGCAATGCATTGGTTTGAAGCATGTCAAAGACTCCCCCTGGGATAACAAGCCTGGTACATATCAATTTCTTTGTTAATTTGATGAACTCATACAAGCTTGCAGTGTCCAGCAGGCATAACTGGATACTGCAAGAGAGGTTCCTAGGGTTGTGTCTGGGATTGGAGCTATCGGCTAGTGTCATTCAGTTGCACAATCCAAGCAGTGGGTGGCCAAAAGTGCTCACTCACATAGCTGGGAGCAGCTTACATGCTAGAGGCTGTGCATGAACAGCCCGGGAATGGGGGTTCTCACAGCAGAGCAGGGTAAGGCTGGCTCCCAGAGTCAAGGATTGGAGTGACCTACCAGATAACACCAGGGAAATATCACAATGACACACAACCCTTCACTGGTCTCGATTACACCGCAGAACTTGAGAACAGGAGATTAACTAGATAATCACAGTGGCCCCTTCTGGCCTTGGGATTTATGAATGAATGCAGAAGGGCATTCCTGAATTTGCACACAACTTGAAGCAACAGTTGTAGAGGCCCCAGTCTGTGAGGGGAAAAGCACCCTTAATTATCCATTGACTTGAACATGAGCTGAAGTTGACTAGCCCACTGCAAGGTTGGGTCTACATTGCATAGTAAACCTGGGTGCATGTGACCCATATTTGCAAACCCATTCTTTCAAAGCTCATTTTTGAGCAGCCACACTACATGGCTATGCATGCCTCATAACCATGCCAGCATATCCATACTGTGGTACGCAGACATGTGTCAGATTCCATGTCTTCTCTGGGTGCATCCCAGGATTCTGAGCACCCTGCTGGCTGTAGCTGCCCTAAAGCTTGGTTCATGGTGTATTGTGGGAGACCTTGTCTGTCCATCCTGTGGCATTTGACCGGAAGTGCTCCTTGCCTGTCAGTGTATCCAGCTGACCCACATGCTCCCTGCTGCTGGAATCAAGCCATACCAGTCCAGCCATACCAGTGGGTTGCTATAGCCATCTGGGAA